ACCCGCAACACAGCATACTCACTTGGGGTAGTCGTTGCGAGTCACCATGCTCCCAATCTCCCCCGCCCTCACGTCCGGGCGAGTGCACGTGAAGCGCAGCAGCGGCTGACCTGCTCCTCGTTCAGCTTCGGGCCGTAACCGCTGCCCGCCGATGATGTGGCACCACCTCCATTGGCAGGAAGCTCTTGCCGCCGCCGCCCGCCATCACGCACGGCAGGTTGGGGTGGCGGATGGTGTAGCCGTAGGCGGAGCGGAAGTAGGCCACCAGGGAGGTCTCGCCCTCTCCTTCTATGGTGAAGGTGAGGGCATGTGCTGGCTCACGTGTGAGGCCTTGAATGCGGTAGCTGCACAGGGGAGAGGGGCGGGAGGGAGGCAGGGGTGGAGTAGTAACGGGTGGAAAAGGGGAGTCACGGGGCGGTAATGAGATACATGGGGCGCTGAGAGTGTCCGAGGCCGGGCAGGGCAGGTTGGGGTGGCGGATGGTGTAGCCGTAGGCGGAGCGGAAGTAGGCCACCAGGACGTCTCGCCCTCTCCTTCGATGGTGAAGGTTAGCGCGTGTGCCGGCTCGCGTGTCAGGCCCTGGATGCGGTAGCTGCATGGGGGAGGGGCGGAGCAGCGGAGGGACGGAGTGACAGGAATGAGATACACGGGTAGCAAAAGTACATAAGACCGTTGGGGAGGGGGAAGGGGGGAGGATGATGGAAAGGCAAGTGCAGAGGGAGAGAGGGAGCGGGACTGGAGAGAAGATACTTTCCACCTGCGGTGAGGAAGGGGGCGGAGGTAGGAGAGGCACGGACGGCGGGGCGTGTCGCGGTGAGTCACCCCCACTTTGATCCCGTGCAGCGCACGCTTCAGCACAGCACGTCACGTCACGGCACCAACACACACACTCACCGGCGGGGCGTGTCGCGGTGGGTCCACCCCCACTTTATACCATGCAGGGCGCGCTTCAGCTTCACTCTCTCCCCATCACTCAGCGACGCATTCGGTGCAAACCCGCCGCCCCCTCCCCCTCCCCCTCCCGGCCCCCGGCCACCCCTCCCCCCGAACCCACCCCTCCCTCCGCCCCTCCCGCCGCCTCCCCCGCCCCCCCCCGCGGCCGAGAAAGTCGGCGGCAAAGGTGAGGAGCGGCATGTCGAGGTGGAAAGCGGTGGCAGCCATGTCCACGTTGAGAGCCAGCCCTGCTGGGAGAAGCGCACTGACTGGAAGAGCCGCGGTAGGCTGTTACTCTCCTCCGCCGCCCAGCGCTGTGCTGCCGAGAGAGGCGGAGTAGAGGGAGCGACCCCACGGGAGTGAGCTGGTGAGGAGGCGCTCCCTCAGGGCCACGTCCAGTGCCTGGGGGAACGAGGGAAGGGAGGGGGGAAGGGGAAGAGGGGATGTGGAGAAAGGGGCAAGGTGGGCTCAAGAGGAAGGCCCGCCAAAGCAAGGGCCAGCAACGCAGCCAGGCCCTGCTGTGAGAAGCGCACTGACTGGAAGAAGCCGCGGTAGGCCGCCACCCCGCCGCCCAGCGCGGAGGAGCCCAGCGAGGCGGAGTAGAGCGAGCGGCCCACCGGGGTGAGGCTGGTGAGCAGACGCTCCCTCAATGCCACGTCCAGTGCCTGGAGGGAGAGGGACAAGGGAGACAGGGGAGACAGGGCAGGGTGGGCCAGCAACGCAGGTGAGCTGAGCGCGGAGGAGCCGAGGGAAGCGGAGTAGAGCGAGCGACCCACGGGAGTGGGGCTGGTGAGCAGACGCTCCCTCAGTGCCACGTCGAGTGCCTGGGGGTGGGTGGGTTGGAGGGGGAGAGGAGGAAGGGAGGGAGGTGATGGATGGAGAGAAAGAGGCAAGGTCGGCCTAGAGTGATGGGGACAGGGACGGGGACAAGGGGGGGAAGAATTCAAACCTCAACACCCACCTGCAGCAGCACTTGCGGAATGTCAGCCTGGCGGCCCTGCAGAAACGAGGTCATAGACGACATGGGGTATTGCTGGGCCAGCTTCACCGTCACCTTCACCGCCCGCTCCCTCCGCTCCCCCCCTCCGCGCCCGCCCCTCCTGCCCCCGCGCCCAGCACCACTGCTACTACCTCCCCTTCCCCCGCCTCCGCCGCCGCCTCTCCCCGCCCCCTGCCCCTTCGTCTTTCTCGGGCAGCACAACGCGGAACTCCTGGCTGTCAAACGGCAGCGGGCGGGCAGTGAAAATGTTCTTCATGCCGTCGAAGACAGGGCGCACGGGGGCGCTGGGGGCGCCGCCAGGCGGGACGAGCTGCGCGCTGTAGGTCTCCGCCAGCTGGCGGACGGCCGCCCGCATGACGCCCTTGGAGGCGAGCGCGGGGGAGAAGTCCACGTCGTAATGGTAGATGACCAGGTCCTGGGGGGGAGGAAGAAGGGCGAAGAGAAAGGGGAAGGCGTGAGGGGAAAGGAAAGGAGGGAGAGGAAGGAAGAGAATGGGAGGGAAGGGGCGTGTGGAGCAGCGGGTTTCGAAGTGCGCATGACGCCTTTGGAGACGAGCGCGGGGGAGAAGTCGACATCGTAGTGGTAGATCACCAGGTCCTGGGGGGGGGAAGGGAGGGAGGGGAGGGAGAGGAGGGAGAAGGGGCGTGTGAAGCAGCAGGTTCAGGTTCCCGGGTGCATCTAATGACGCCCTTGGAGGCGAGTGCGGGGGAGGGAGAAGTCCACGTTGTAGTGGTGGATTACCAGGTCCTGGAAGGGAGAGGTTGGACCCGCAACGAGCGTTTGGCAGTAAACACGTTTCAGAATGAAGTCGGAAGGGGCGTGCGGCCATATGGGCAGAATCAGGGCGGGAATTCGAGCAAAGGATGCGAGGGTAGGGAAAGAGAGGAGAGCAAGACGGGACGAGACGCATGCAGGGGAGGATGCGAGGTGGCCGCGGAGAACGATGGTCAAGCGCAACTCGCACCCATTCATTATCCCCATTACCTACACGCTCTCCCACTCGCCGCCCCTCCCCCCTCGCCCCCCTTCTTCCCCCCGCCCCCGCCCCTGAGCAAGCGCACCTGGAAGTCGATTTTGAAGTGGTTCGCCAGCAGCATCACGGGCCGCCCCGCCTTGCCGAACCCCGGCCGCGCCGCCGCCACCAGCGCCCTGCTCGACACGCCCGCCGGCCCCGCCATCGTCACCGCCACGCCCGCCGCCGCCGCACCTGCTACGGGCGCGGGCGCAACCGGTACGGGGGCAGCGGGCATAGGGGCGGGAGTAGGGGCAGCGGGTGCGGGGGTAGGAGCGGGGCCACGCGCGGATGCGGGGGCGGGGGCACGCGCGGGTGCGAGGGCGGGGAAATCCGCGGGTGGCGCGGACACACCCATCTGAGCCATGCCTGCGGTGATGCCCCCAACCCCCCCCGCTCCTTGCGCCTGCTCTCCGCGTCCTCCCCGCCCGCGCCCCCCGCGCCCACGCCCTCCGCCTGCGCCAGGGGCTCCTACTCCTCCGGGTGCTCCTGCGGGAACGGGCGCGCCCCTTCCCCTGGCGGCGCGCCCCTTCCCCCGCGACCTCCTGCTCCCGCGGGAGCAGGCGCGCCTCTGCCCCCCGCGGGCGGCTGCGACGGTGCTGCTGACGCCGGTGGTGCTGCGCTGCACGCAGGGAAGCGAGATGGAAGGGGGAAAGAGACCGGCGGGACCCACAATGACGTGTATATTAGTATTTGATTTGTAATTTATATAAAAACGGACAAGACAAAGCGTGCCATGACAACGACGGCGCTGCGAAGGGAGGCGAGTGCGAAGGGATAATGGCATGCATCTTAGTATTTCATGCGCGGTTCTTACACAAGTGCGCAAGACACAGCGTGTCATGACAACGACGGCGACAGAGCGTTTCTCTAAACGACAAGTGAAATCCGAGAAAAGATAGCGAGCTGAAATAGGCGACGAAGGAGTAAAATGAAAAGCGATGCGAACGAGCAATTACCTCGGCGCGCCAGCTTGCCCTTCCCCGCGACCTCCACCTGCGCCTGCGCCTCCGCCTGCACCTCCACCTCGCTTGCCCTTCTTAGGCCCCATGAACGCTGAGTAAAAGACTGCTTTAACGATTCGTAGATTAGAAAATCCTGCTCTGCTTCTGCAAAAAACGAGGAAATGAGGGTGAAAATGGCAAGTGCTGCTGGACTAGCACACCTCCGCTGCCTCCTGGCAAGGACGGTTGCCAGGACGGGATGTTTGTGTCAGGCAGGTCACCCAACACCAAGAATCCCTTCGCCGCACGCACAAACATCGCATGTGCGTCAGGAACCACATTGGCAGACATTGGCGCTGTTCTGCAGGCGTTAAAACCCGAAGCCTGAATTACAAAATATGAGTCAACGCTTGGTTTGGTAGTTCTGAGGTTCGGGCAATATGAGGTGCGGAGAAATTGCGAAAGGTGGCAGTTTAGCGAAACCTGATGCGACTCTCCTGTGAGGCAAACAGTTCGCAGGCAACCCGCATACCAACCTCCGAGAGCTGGATCAGAGTAAGAAAACTCGTCCGACAGAACAAGCTAAAATACTCATTCACTCACGTTAGAATCCGACCATCGCACACCAGCTAGGTTTTAGAGTGAGCACTTTTTCAGACAACCGGAATTAGTAGGTGCAGCTTGTATATACGCAATCGAAGCACGTAGAAAATGGGCGTGAGGAGATGAGAAATTAGCGCTTTGCCTACCTCACGACCCTCGCCCATGCTTTCTCCGCCCACCGCCCTCGCCCCGCCCGTCGCCTCGCCGCCTCGCCGCCCGTCGACCTCGGTTCCCTCGCCCATCGCTCTCGCTTCCCCCGCCCGTCGCTCTCGCTTTCCCCGCCTACACCCTCGCCTCGCCTGTCGGCCTCGCCGCTTCCCCGCCCGTCGCCCTCGCTTCCGCCCGTCGCCCTCCCTTCCGCCCGTCACCCTCCCTTCCGCCCGTCGCCCTCCCTTCCGCCCGCCGCCCTTCCTTCCCCTCGTCGCGCTCCCTTCCGCCCGTCGCCCTCCCTTCGTCTCGTAGCCCTCCCTTCCTCCCGTTGCCTTCCCTTCCGCCCGCCGCCCTTCCTTTCCCTCGTCGCGTTCCTTTCCGCCCGTTGCCCCCCTTCGTCTCGTCGCCCTCCTTCCCGCTCGTCCCCTCGCAATCTCCGTCTCTCTCTTCTCCCGTCGCCCTCGCTTTCCCCGTCGCCCTCCCATCCACTCCTCGTTGTCCTCGCCATCCCTCCCTTTTCCCTTCTCATCTCGCACACTTGTCACGGCCCCTTTCCAACCCGCACATGCACCCCTTCCGTGCTTCCCCCATCCCCTTCCGTGCTTCCCCCATCCCCTTCCGTGCTTCCCCCATCCCCTTCCGTGCTTCCCCCATCCCCTTCCGTGCTTCCCCCATCCCCTTCCGTGCTTCCCCCATCCCCTTCCGTGCTTCCCCCATCCCCTTCCGTGCTTCCCCCATCCCCTTCCGTGCTTCCCCCATCCCCTTCCGTGCTTCCCCCATCCCCTTCCGTGCTTCCCCCATCCCCTTCCGTGCTTCCCCCATCCCCTTCCGTGCTTCCCCCATCCCCTTCCGTGCTTCCCCCATCCCCTTCCGTGCTTCCCCCATCCCCTTCCGTGCTTCCCCCATCCCCTTCCGTGCTTCCCCCATCCCCTTCCGTGCTTCCCCCATCCCCTTCCGTGCTTCCCCCATCCCCTTCCGTGCTTCCCCATCCCTTCCTGCTTCCGTTCCCCCATCCCCTTCCGTGCTTCCCCCATCCCCTTCCGTGCTTCCCCCATCCCCTTCCGTGCTTCCCCCATCCCCTTCCGTGCTTCCCCCATCCCCTTCCGTGCTTCCCCCATCCCCTTCCGTGCTTCCCCCATCCCCTTCCGTGCTTCCCCCATCCCCTTCCGTGCTTCCCCCATCCCGCTTCCGTGCTTCCCCCATCCCCTTCCGTGCTTCCCCATCCCCTTCCGTGCTTCCCCCATCCCCTTCCGTGCTTCCCCATCCCTTCCGTGCTTCCCCCATCCCCTTCCGTGCTTCCCCCCATCCCCTTCCGTGCTTCCCCCATCCCCTTCCGTGCTTCCCCCATCCCTTCCGTGCTTCCTTCCTGCTTCCCCATCCCTTCGTGCTTCCCCCATCCCCTTCCGTGCTTCCCCCATCCCCTTCCGTGCTTCCCCCATCCCTTCCGTGCTTCCCCCCATCCCCTTCCGTGCTTCCCCCATCCCCTTCCGTGGCTTCCCCATCCCCTTCCGTGCTTCCCCCATCCCCTTCCGTGCTTCCCCCATCCCCTTCCGTGCTTCCCCCATCCCCTTCCGTGCTTCCCCCATCCCCTTCCGTGCTTCCATCCCTTCCGTGCGTCCCCCATCCCCTTCCACGTGCTTCCCCCATCCCTTCCGTGCTTCCCCATCCCCTTCCGTGCTTCCCCCATCCCCTTCCGTGCTTCCCCCATCCCCTTCCGTGCTTCCTCCCCCCATCCCCTTCCGTGCTTCCCCCATCCCCTTTCCGTGCTTCCCCCATCCCCTTCCGTGCTTCCCCCATCCCCGTCCGTGCTTCCCCCATCCCCTTCCGTGCTTCCCCATCCCCTTCCGTGCTTCCCCCATCCCCTTCCGTGCTTCCCCCATCCCCTTCCGTGCTTCCCCCATCCCTTCCGTGCTTCCCCATCCCCTTCCGTGCTTCCCCCATCCCCTTCCGTGCTTCCCCCATCCCCTCCGTGCTTCCCCCATCCCCTTCCGTGCTTCCCCATCCCCTTCCGTGCTTCCCCCATCCCTTCCGTGCTTCCCCCATCCCCTTCCGGGCTTCCCCCATCCCCTTCCGTGCTTCCCCCATCCCCTTCCGTGCTTCCCCCATCCCCTTCCGTGCTTCCCCCATCCCCTTCCGTGCTTCCCCCATCCCCTTCCGTGCTTCCCCCATCCCCTTCCGTGCTTCCCCCATCCCCTTCCGTGCTTCCCCCATCCCCTTCCGTGCTTCCCCCATCCCTTCCGTGCTTCCCCCATCCCCTTCCGTGCTTCCCCCATCCCTTCCGTGCTTCCCCCATCCCTTCCGTGCTTCCCCCATCCCCTTCCGTGCTTCCCCCATCCCCTTCCGTGCTTCCCCCATCCCTTCCGTGCTTCCCCATCCCCTTCCGTGCTTCCCCCATCCCCTTCCGTGCCTTCCCCCATCCCCTTCCGTGCTTTCCCCCCATCCCTTCCGTGCTTCCCCATCCCCTTCCGGGCTTCCCCCATCCCCTTCCGTGCTTCCCCCATCCCCTTCCGTGCTTCCCCCATCCCCTTCCGTGCTTCCCCCATCCCCTTCCGTGCTTCCCCCATCCCCTTCCGTGCTTCCCCCATCCCCTTCCGTGCTTCCCCCATCCCCTTCCGTGCTTCCCCCATCCCCTTCCGTGCTTCCCCCATCCCTTCCGTGCTTCCCCCATCCCTTCCGTGCTTCCCCCATCCCCTTCCGTGCTTCCACCATCCCTTCCGTGCTTCCCCCATCCCTTCCGTGCTTCCCCCATCCCATTTCCGTGCTTCCCCATCCCCTTCCGTGCTTCCCCATCCCTTCCGTGCTTCCCCCATCCCCTTCCGGGCTTCCCCATCCCTTCCGTGCTTCCCCCATCTCCCTTCCGTGCTTCCCCCCATCCCCTTCCGTGCTTCCCCCATCCCCTTCCGTGCTTCCCCCATCCCCTTCCGTGCCTTCCCCCATCCCCTTCCGTGCTTCCACCATCCCCTTCCCGTGCTTCCCCCATCCCTTCCGTGCTTCCCCCATCCCCTTCCGTGCTTCCCCCATCCCCTTCCGTGCTTCCCCATCCCCTTCCGTGCTTCCCCATCCCTTCCGTGCTTCCCATCCCTTCCGTGCTTCCCCCATCCCCTTCCGTGCTTCCCATCCCTTCCGTGCTTCCCCCAGCCCCTTTCCGTGCTTCCCCCATCCCCTTCCGTGCTTCCCCCATCCCCTTCCGTGCTTCCCCCATCCCCTTCCGTGCTTCCCCCATACCCCTTCCGTGCTTCCCCCCATTCCCCCTTCCGTGCTTCCCCCATCCC